GTCCGCGCCCCCCGCGGGCCCCTTCCCCGCGCGGAGGGAGGCCCCTCGCGGCGGCCCGCACGTGCCCGCGTCGTCACGCGTTTCCGTCGTGGGAACAGGCCGCGTCTGGTCTTAGCCGGGGTCCCCCGAAGGCGGCGGAGGGCGGTCCCGAGACCCTCCTGCCCCCCCCCCGCCCCGCACTGGGGTGCATGGAAGACGCCAGCTTTCCCCGGAACTCTCCCGTTTTTCCAGAAGCTTCTTGCATTTTCCAGAACTTTCTCAGGGGGCTGGGCCAGGCTGGACCCCGTGTTAGTCGGGCGGCCTTTGTGGGGGGGGGGTCCGGAAGCTGGCTGGGCCCGGGCCGCGTCCCTGGTGTGCAGTTGAAAGTCACTTTAAAGGGTGTTTCCGAAATGCCAGCCGCCTCCGGGGGGGACCCGGGACCCCCGAGCCCACAGGGTCTGGTGCTGGGGCGGACGCCGCTGATGAGGCGGCCCTGGGTAAGGCTGAGGGCCTTCCCGGCGGGGGGATCACTGGGTAATGATCTGTGGTTACCGTGGAGACAGCCTCCTGGCTCTGTGAGCATGATTGCTTCCGTGCTTGCTGCACCTGTCAGCGCTGCCTGCCGGGACGTCACCTCCTGCTTCTCCCCTACCTAGGGGTCCACCTCCATAAGTCAGCAGCTGAGGACTGAAATGACTTCCCTGGGAAGGGGTGGCGGTGAAACCAGGAGAGAAGATGAGTTAGGGGTCCAAGATCCACACAAAAAGTTACAAGGGCTGGCAGGGCTCCTAGCTGCCAGGATGCTGAGATCTGAGGACCGCAGTTCAAAGCCATCCAGGTGGGAAAGTTCGTGCGATTCTGATCTGCAGTTAGCCACCCAAAAGCTGGTAGTGGAACTGTGGCTCAGGCACTAGCCTTGAGAGAAAAAGCTAAGAGATAGGGCCCAGGCCAGGAGTGGGCTGCTTTTGCAGTGCATGGTGCTGTTGATCTGCTGCTGAGCACACTGTTGCTGTCAGGAGACAGGTCTGGGCTGGGAAGAGAAAGCATTCACAGGAAGCTGGCCATTCTGTGCTCTGACTTGCACCCTCAGCCCTGCTCTCTTTTGGCCATTTATATTCTTGGAGTTGATAGCAAAAATGAACTACTTGGCATTCAGCATCACAGAAAGTGTGTGTGTTTGTGTAGGGAGGGTGGGAGAGAGGGGAGGAGTGGGTAGGACGGGGAGGGACAGACTAAGTCCAGTGACCTCTTTTGCCTGTTTCTGCCCACAGGGATGCCAGAAGGACCATCCTTGAGGAAATTTCACCACCTGGTCTCCCCCTTTGTGGGCCAGCAGGTGGTCAAGACAGGGGGCAGTAGTAAGAAGCTCTGCCCTGCGGTCCTTCAGTCGCTGTGGCTCCTTGATGCCCAGGTGAGGTTACAGACCAGGCAAGCCAAATTTGCTGGGAAAGGCACTATATTTTACTGAGTGTTATCTCTGGCTATAGTCAGTTTGTGTGTGTGCATGCTGATTGATTAGTTCTAGCATAGAAAATAAATTATGGGCTGGGAAGGTGGCCTAGTGGTAGAGTGCTTGCCTACCATGCATGAAGCCCTGGGTTTGATTCCTCAGTACCACATACACAGAAGAAGCCAGAAGTGGCATTGTGGTTCCAAGTGGTAGAGTGTTATTAGCCTTGAGCAAAAGCATCTCAGGGACAGTGCCCCAGCCCTGAGTTCAAGCCCCAGGACTGGCAAGAAGAAAGGAAATTCATTAAATTGAATAAAAGAGTGGCAGTTGGTATGTATTACTTAGCTAACCCCTGGATAGTACCAAACCCATTAGGTGTGAAGAGTAGCTGTGCTGTCTGGAGCAGGTCTATCTTAGAGCTAATCTAATTCCATGAGCCAGCTGCCCTAAGCACTGAATTGAGAGCCAAAGCAAGCAGTTCAGGAAGCTGTGGGCGAGGAGTCAGTCAGAGGCCAGGGCTGTCTGCAGAGCCCTTGGGCCCCTGCTGGGCCTACAGGGCTTGGAACTGTGTTTATATTTTTCTAGGTGCATGGCAAGAAATTATTCCTTCGATTTGATCCTAGTGAAGAGCTGGAGCCACCTGGAAGCCACCTGCTGCCAGAGTCTCTCCAGAAAGGAGCAGAGAAGGATGATGCTGTGGACCCCACGCTGGCTTCCGGGCCCAGCAATGAGCACACCTGTGCCGGTGCGGCCTGCTCTCTGGAGCCTGGTCCCAGCAGGGCCAGCAGCGCCGAGTGCCCGGGAGGACACAGCCCTGCAGCAGGTGCCCAGACGTGGCTGCAGGTCAGGTTTGGTTTGTTCGGCAGCGTCTGGGTGAACAACTTCTCCAGAGCAAAGAAAGCCAACAAGAGTGGTGACTGGAGGGACCCCGTGCCCAGGTAATGTGCTGTCTTGTTGGGGTCTTTGCAACAGGAGGAGGGACAAGGTTTTCCTAGTTTAAGTCTATGAATGTTGAGAACAGTAGCTTTGCGTATGGAACTCTCCTACATTTAGGATTATTTCCTTTGGATCAATTCCCACAGGAATTGCTGGTTGAGAGAGAACATTTTTTCTTTTTTTGGTAGGTCATGGGGCTTGAACTCTAGGCCTGGGTGCTGTCCCTGAGCTCTTCAGCTTAATCCAAGTGCTCTACCACTTGAGCCACAGGGCCACTTGCGGTTTTCTGCTGGTTAATTGGAGATAAGAGCCTCACAGACTTCCTGCCCAGGCTAGCTTGGAACCTCAGTCCTCAGATCTCAGCCTCCTGAGTAGCTAGGATAACAGGCGTGAGCCACCGTCGCCCAGCAGATAGCATATTCTTAAATCTGCCTGTTAGTGACACTGGGGTTTGAACGCAAGGCCTGGAACTTTGAGGCAGGCACTCTGCCACTTGAGTCATGCCTCTAGGGCTTTTGCTTTATTTTTCAGATAGGTTCTTGTGTTTTTACCAGGCTGGCCTCAAACTGTGTGGTCTCCCTACCTGTGCTTCCAACATAGCTGAAATTACAGATTTGAACTATGTTGCCTGGTTTGTTAAAATAAATTCCTACTAATTTTTTGCTTGGGTTTGCCTCAAGCTACAATCCTCCACATCTCTGCCTCCTGAGGTTTCTGGGAGTACAGGTGTGACCGTGTCTAGCCCAGAGTTGCACATTTTTATGTGCTGACTTAATAGAATTCTTCCGAGCTTTGGCCACATGTATGAGCACTATTCACTTGAAGCCTGTTGACAGGAAGGTTGGTCATTTTTTGTGATATGTGTTGCCAGTGTTGTTTCCATGCTTGTGCCTTTGATTCATGAAGCTTATTGGCCTTTGGGATTTTAAATTTTTATGTAGGTGCTGGGAATGTGGCTTAGTGGTAGAGTGCTTGCTTAGCATGCATGAAGCCCTGGGTTTAATTCCTCAGTACCACATAAACAGAAAAAGCTGGAAGTGGCATTGTGGCTCAAGTGGTAGAGCGCTAGCCTTGAGCAAAAGAGGCTCAGGCACAGTGCCCATACCCTAAGTTCAAGTCCCAGAACTGGCAAAAAAAAAAAAAATTATGTAGTTAACAGTGTTTCTGTTACCACTCTTTTTAAAAAAACTGACCACAACGATTACCTTCGCTCAACCGTTCTTTGGCCTCCCTCCTTCCTGCAACCCCCCCCCAAATAATTTTATTTGTTCCAGTTTGGGACTTGAACTCATGGCCTGGGTACTGTCCCTGAGCTTTTGTGCTCAAGACTAGTGCTCTACCACTTGAGCCACAGTGCCGCTTCCAGGGCGCGCGCGCGCGCGCGTGCGTGCGTGCGTGCGTGCGTGCGTGCGTGTGTGTGTGTGTGTGTGTGTGTGTGTGCGCGCGTGCGTGCGCTGTCCTTGAGCTTTTCTGCTCAAGGCTAGTGCTCTACCACTTGGGCCACAGCACCACTTCAGTTGTTTTTTTGGTGCCTGATTGGAGATAAGAGTCTCACAGACTTTCCTGCTTGGACTGGCTTTGAATCTTGATCCTTCGATATCGGCTACCTGAGTAGCTAGGATTACAGACCTGAGCCACCAGCACCTGGCTTCTTCTTCTTCTTACAACAGTTTCAACAGATGAATTTATTCTACTTTCATACATGCAAATAAACTGCATTGTCTAATTGACCAGATGTACTTAGTTTTCTTAATTTTGTTGAATTACCAAGTTCCTTTTCTTCCTTGTTTTATGGCTGCTAAATTGTATTTTTTATTAGCTAATTACAAAAAATTAAACCCTTTTTTACTCTTTTCCTCTTTCCCTCTGAGATGAATCTTTTTTTTGTCGGTCATGGGGCTTGAACTCTGGGCCTGAGTGCAGACCCTCAGCTCTTCAGCTCAAGGCAAGCACTCTACCACTTGGGCTACAGCGCCACTTCCCTGAGATGAATCTTTTAAGATACAAACATATACCTGTAATTCCATCACTTGGGTGGTATAGATGTAGGATTGCAAGTCGCCGGTCTGGGCTACATTGTGAGACCTTTTTTCAAAAAAGAAAATCCAAAAAAGTGAAAACACGTAAAACATACTTTTATTTGCTATTTCTTTTCTGTGACATCCACCCCAATGTCTGAGGTTGCTATACTAGTTTGGAATTTGATTTCTGGGTTATTTTAAATAATTAGTATTAAGTGTATTAAAAGCATTTTTTTTTTGGGTCCGTCGTGGGGCCTGAACTCTGGGCCTGGGCACTGTCCCTCAGCTCTTCAGCTCAAGGCTAGCGTTCTACCACTTGAGCCATAGTGCCCCTTCCGGCTTTTTACTTTTTGCTTATGTGGTGCTGGGGAATTGAACCCAGGGCCTCATGCATGCAAGGCAAGCGCTCTACCACTGAGCCACCTTCCCAGCCCGCGTATTAAAAGTATTAAGTGCGTAGTTTTGCTTCAAAATTCTTTCCTAACTAAGAGAGCTGCTTCTTGAATAGCTCCCTATCTATGTTTATGCCTATCTGAGTTTCTCTCTGTCCTCTCTAGGACACTAACTAGGTCAGGGGCAGGCTCTGGTTCTTCCTGTTCTCCCTTTTCTTCCTCTTGTGGAGCCCTAGCTACCTTTACAAAGCAGCCCTTTCTCTCTCAGTTTGTGAGGATACTGTGCTTTCCTGAGCTTTATCTGGCAGCTGTGGGGAGGGCAGGCTGTGGGGAGGACAGGCTGTGGGGAGGGCAGGTAGGTGTGTCTGGGAAATCTGGCCTGAGGCTGGTCCCCCTCGGAAGCCATGGTCCCCCTCGGAAGCCATCTTTTCACTCACGAGCCTTGTTTCTGGTCATGTAGCCGTATCTTTAGAACTTCAGAGTTTTCTGCTTTTTAGAGTTCCTTTTGTAAACTCGGATTGTTATAATCAGAAAAATGTTGCAATGTTGCAGTTACTCCATTAAGTCCTGAGAAGTGTTTGAGTTTTGATGAGCTATCCCTTTCTCTCTTTGGGGACCCCCGTCAGTTTCCCCAGATTGATCAGGACTGATGGTGCAGAAACTGAATGTACATGTGAGCTGACTGTGGAATAGGAGCTGTGCGTGTGGGGCGACATGACAGTGGCAGCTACGTGGTGTGGCTTGGCTGTCTGGTGGCAGGTGCGTGTGCGTATATATGTATGTGACCTGTAGGCGACGTTTCCCTGTGGCCTGGTGCTGCCGTGATGGATGCTGGGTGTGTCCTAAGCACATGGAGGCCACTGTGTATTGTGATCTGACTCTGGTACCTGTAACCTGACTAGCGCTGGGGTGGTTGTGTGTACACAGGGCCTGACTGGCGTGGTGGTTGTGTGTGCACTGGTCCTGACCGGCACAGTGGTGGTTGTGTGTGCGTGGGGCCTGGACATACAGAGGTGTGACCTGACTGTAGTGGTCAGTCACTACATGCACCTGTGGCCTGACCACCCCGCGGTCCGGCCGTGAGTATGACCTGACTCCCTTCCCAGGTTGGTCCTGCACTTCGGTGGCGGTGGCTTCCTGGCATTCTACAGTTGCCAGATGTCCTGGAGTCCTCCCCCAGAGCTCAGCCCCACTTGCGACATCTTGTCAGAAGCATTCCATCGAGGACAGGCCCTGGAGGCTCTGGGGCGGGCCCAGCCTGTGTGCTATACACTAATGGACCAGAGATTCTTCTCGGGGTTAGGTAAGCCCCGTGGGAAAGGGCCGAGCCACGGGCTGTGCAGTGAGAAAGCCACTCCCCTGGGGGTCACCAGACCTCAGGGTCCCCACCTCCCATTGCACCAGTATTGCAGGTCTTGAGGGGGACCACTCAGTTTCCTGAGCTTTCCCTTGCTTTGGAACTGAGAGCGTTCCATCAGACAGGCCCTAAATTCTCTCACCCTGACTGGATGTTTCTTGGGACCTGACAACTGCACTGGAGCATAACCTTCCAAAGTACAGAGGTCGTGTCTGCCTGGCATTCCCCATGGCCTGATGCAGAGTGGCATGGAGGCATGGAGGGAGGGCCCGGCCCAGGACCGTGGGGTTGGAAGCCCACATTCATTTTGCTGATGTCCGCTGCTCTTGCGGCTGGAGCGTGATGCTGTCAAGGCACAGGAGCATCAGGTCAGCATTAGGCGCTGGGAAGCCACAAGCAAGAAGCAGGTTCCCTCTGCTAGAGGCCGGAGTGCTGAGACAGCACATTTCCGGGTGGGAGAAGAGATGGGTGGTTGGAGAAAGTAGAGAGGGCCTGGCTGAAGAGCCTGCTGGTCTCATGCCCGCGGCGCGGCAGGAGGTACCACAGCCAGCTTCTAAAGCACATCCGAGGCGTGACCCGCTGCGGACCAGGGAGGATCTCGCCAGCGCTGCCGTGCTGCTCACTGAGAAGCACGCGTCCCGATGCCCAGCAGAAGCCCTGTGCAGTGGCCACAGCAATATGGCGGTGTTACCCCTGGTCTCCACAGGGTAAGAGTGGCCAAGCCCGGTTAGCAGACGTGGACTCAGACGCTGCCTCCTGTGACGGCAGGGCGCCACGTCTTCCCATGCGTCTGCTGCCGTCCCTCCAGCTGTGGCTTCATTTGGGGGTGGTTTCCACCCTCATCCTCCGCTTGCTGTGTTGCAGGGAACATCATTAAGAACGAAGCCTTGTACCGAGCAGGGATCCACCCCCTTACTCCAGGGGCGCTCCTGACACCTTCGCAGCTGGAGGCCCTGGTGGACCATGTTGTGCAGTTCAGTGCAGAATGGCTGAAGGACAAGTTCCAGGGCACACGTCGTCACACGCAGATCTACCGGAAGGAGCAGTGTCCTGCTGGGCATCAGGTCCTGAAGGAGGCACTTGGGCCTCCAGCCGGGCTCCAGAGACTCACCTGGTGGTGCCCACAATGCCAGCCTCCTCTTCCCCCTGAAGAGCCGCAGTAGCCGGGACTCTGCTGAGGTTCTCAGGAGCTACTTGATGGCACTTGCCCTTGGGTACCAGGCCGTGTCCGTGTCCGGGACAGAGGACGGGGAGGGGCTGGCTGGGTAAGAGAAGGATGATAGGAGGGTCAGCATTGTTGATCTTTATGTCACTGGAGTTGTGTTGAAGGCACAGCTTTTACAGAGGTAGATTTTTCCATTTCTGGTTCAGTTCACTCTTGGGAGCTTCGGGGCTTCCTACTTTCTACTGTTAGAATTTTGGCAGCGGGGAGAAGAGCGCCCGGAACAGCAGGGCAGAAATGAACACTGGGAAAATGGTTGTACTCACCCAGAACAACGGCATAAATGAACACTGGGACGACAGTGCACCCAGGGTTGCTTTGCGAGTGATGTGTATTGTGTTTTGGGAACTTTGTTGGTTTGGTATGTATAGAGACACAGGAAAAAGACATTGTCCTGGTTCTGTTGGAGCTGCTCATCTGCTCCTCTCACCACAAGGAGACATAGGACTCACCTGGGCGCAAGAGGTTTGCCAGGGCGGCAGGTGTACCCATGGCTTTTAAGGGAAAGCTACCTGTTACTCCTTAACCTGATATACGGGTGACTGTTGATGGTTGAACAATTCAGATGTCAAGAAATGTACAGAAAGTTCCTCTAGAAAAACCTAGCCGAAACCTGAGCACAGATATGAAAATAAAACTTATTTTTTGTATCATCTTCATCTGGCAGTGAAGGGTGTGTGTGTGTGTGTGTGTGTGAGTCAGTGTGTGTGTGTGTGTGTGTGTGTGTGAGTCAGTGCTGCACCGGGCTGCTTGGCTTGTGTGGGACCACTCCCTACACTGAGCTCCACTACTAGCCCAGAAAGGTCTTCTGGTATGAATAGCTGGGCTCTCTATGTAGGTGATCTGGGCTTGCTGGGCTGGCCAGGTGACTCCCCCTAGAAAGCAGGAGAGGGTGGGAGGAGGGAGTGATTGATGAGAGAGAAATCAAAGCTGGCTTTTCTTTTCTTCGTCTGCCTGGAACTATTGATTGTTGCCTGCAGAAGGGACACACTCCATTGTGCTCGGATTCTTTGTTTGATGGTCACGTGAACTGTGCATTGGGGTCATCTGCCTGCTCTGCACCTGGTGCTCACACAGCATTGAGGGCTCACCACGCCCTGCGTCTTCCCCCAGAGGGATGGGAGATTCATCTTGAATTTAGGACTCACCTTATACTATATGTTCACCCTGCATTGAGGGTTCTCCATCAGGAGCCTGTCTCAGGGAGAGGGCACACCCCATCCGGACTTGCCCTGAATTAAGTGTTCACACATTATGACCTTACCTCACAACAGGTGCTTACCACTTAAGCTCATTCTTGTGCATTGCCTGCCAAACAACCCATGCAGCTACATGCTCTTTTTTTTTTTTTTTAATGCTGGTCCCACGGCTTGAACTCACAGCCTGGGTGTTGTCTCTGAGCTGTTTTGTCAAGGCTAACACTCTACCACTTGACCCACAGCTCCACTTCTGGATTTTTGGTGGTTAATAGGAGATAAGAGTCTCAGGGACTTTCCCACCTGAGTAGCCAGGATTATAGGTGTGAGCCACCAGTACCTAGCTATATTCATTATTATTTCTTCTTTCTTCTTTTCTTCTCTTCCTCCTCCTCCCCCTCCTCTTCCTCCTCCTCCTCCTCGCTTCTTTCTTCTTCTTCTTCCTTCTCCTTCGTCATCGTCGTTGGTTGTGTGATTTGAACTCTAGGCCTGGGCGCTGTCAGCTTTTCAGCTCATGATGAGCACTCTCCTACTTGAGTCACAGCGCCACTTTCGGTTTTCTGGTGGTTAATTGGAGCTAAGAGTCTCAGGGATCTTCTTGCCAGGGCTGGCTTTGAACCAATATCCTCAGATCTTAGCCTCCTGAGTAGCTAAGATTACAGGCATGAGCCACCAGTGCCTGGCTTATACTCATTTCTTACTGTCCTTATTTTATGGTGAGAAAAATCTGGGGAACTACGGAAGGTGCCGAGGAACCCAGACCTAACAAGGTCCAGACCCACTGCCATGGTATAGGCTGCCACAACCAAATATCAAAAGTTGGGTGGCAGTAGATACACACTCGGGTCTGTACACAGAAGTCCAAGGGGATTATGGGATTAATTCATGACCTGACTTAGATTGTTCATGATTGTGATTAAAGACTGCCACTGCTTCATTAGTGGGCAGCATCTGGGGCTAGTGATTCTGGGTGAGATTTACAGTCCTACAGGTCGGATTAAGGCTTCAGCTCTCTGTGGTAAGTGGGAGCTACAATGAAGGCCAAACGGCCAGGGAGCCAACAGCCCGGCGTGCTGTACTGATAACCAGGAGAGGCCGCCTAGTAGGGCAGCTTCCGCTCCTTTCCCCGGGGGTGGGGTCCAACCTGGGGCCTGCCGGCAAGCACCTGTCAGCCTAGCTCGCCTGGCCGATCGGCAGTTTGGTGGTGGGCCTGGGGTTTAAAGCCTGCTCAGGTGGGCTCTTCTGATTCCCCTCTGTAATCCCAGGTACTCAGAAGCCTGAGCTCGGAGGGTCGGAGTTCGAGGCCAGCCCAGGTTGAGACTCATCGCCAAAAAGGCAGGAAGTAGTGTGGCTCAAGTGGTAAAGCGCTAGCCTGGAGTGGAAAAGCGAAGAGACTGTCCAGGCCCTGGTTCAAGCCCCAGGGCCCGCACTAAATGTGCTCGGATCTCAGCGGACTCCTAACCAGAACCACACGCGGGCTCGCCACCCGTGCCCAGTTGAGCTCTGGAGCTCACGCGACGCTGCCGCCGCGCCCCCGCGACCGGAGGAAAACAAAGCCTGTGCTGGAGGACCAATCGCGTCCGCCGGCCTCTTTCTAGTTCTCCAATGGGCTTCTAGGTTGTGCCTGTCACGCCAGGATCATCCCGCCGCCGATTGGCTGTCGTCTCCCTGGTGCGAGAGGCCCTGGCCAATCAGGGCTCATCACTCCACCCCGCAAGCCCAAGGTAGCCGCGCGATCGCCCGCCGCCGGTTGGGATGGGCGGGAAGTGGGCGGGGTGCCTCCGCGTTGGACCCGCCTCCGCGGCGGCCTGGCCGGCTGCGCCTCTTCCACCTCAGTCTGCCGAACGCGGGCTGCGTCGGTCCAAGTTTCCCAGAGCGGTTCCCTGAGCCCGGCGGCTCCGGCGTCGCCCCGGCATGGAGTTCCTCAAGTGCCTAGGCCACCCCGAGGAGTTCTACAACCTGCTGCGCTTCCGCATGGGGGGCGGGCGCAAGGTGATTCCCAAGATGGACCAGGTGCGTGGAGCATCCCTGTATCCCCGCCGGGCGCCTGGGGGCCGGGGAGGGGGATGGGGGGACGAGGGGGATGACGTGGGGGCAGAGGGGGTGGACGGGGGGCGGAG